AGATGTGGGGAGATGCGGGGAGATGCGGGGAGACGCGGGGAGATGCGGCATCTAGGTTGGCCCGCCGCGGCCGAGTGCGACGACCACGTGGTGCAGTCGGTCCAGAGGACGACGGAGAGCACCTGGTAGTTGAGTAAATGACTATGCTTAGTTAGCCAGTACTGAAGGCACGGCCGCGCCCCGAGACGGAGATCACCTTCGCGCCCTCGCCCGTGCGCAGCGTGAGGATGTCCAGCGAGTGGACAGGCCCATACCCGTCGCTCGACACCTCCAGGCTCGCGCTAGGCGACACGATCTCGCAAAGCACCGCCGGCTTGCCCGCGTAGAGCGGGTCCGCGCGGAGCTCGTCCTCGACCTCGCCGCGCGTCACGAAGTCGACGCCTGGAAGAAGAGGTAAGCTCCTCCACACAGACAGGTGTGGTGGGGCAAGGGGCGTGGGGGCGACCCTCGCGACTCCACGTCTAGACGAGAGGGGCCGCACGGCATTCAACGTGCAAGGCCCGGTGCGCGGGTGAGCGGTGTGTGTGTGTGTGTGTGTGTGTGTGTGTGTGTGTGTGTGTGTGTGTGTGTGTGTGTGTGTGTGTGTGTGTGTGTGTGTGTGTGTGTGTGTGTGACAGAGAGAGAGTTGTGTGTGTGTGTGTGGTCGACGCCTCGCTTGAAGACGCGGTCGCCGATGCCGAGATACGAGTCGGAGATCTTGCAGACCAGGTCGCAGCCGCCGCTCTCTACCCCGCGCGAAACGTCATGCAGCGCGGCGCCGTCCCACGCACCGAGCTGCAGCGGCCTCCGCGCGTCCGCAGCATCGAGCAGGCCGCACCAGTACTCCTTCTTGCAGATGGCGTCGTACCAGGTGTGCTCTACGCCGTCGGGGTCGTCGCCAAAGAGGACAAAGGCTGCGACGTAGTCGGCGAGCGGCGTGAGCGCGTCGTAAACAATGGAGGCGAGCGTCGACGGCGGTGGCAGGAACCAGATGCGCCCCGGGCCAGCCATCTTCCAGTCGTCGCCCGGCTGCGGCAGCAAATAGTCGCGTAGCCGCTTGCCCCACGCCACCGCTGCGAGCAGCGCTGGCGTCGCCGGCAGGAGCAGCGTCATCGCCGTACCCGCGGCGCCGCCGAACCACAGCCGGTTGTACTGCAGCGCGAAGCGCGAGAAGGTCAGCGGCTGTGTCGCGAGGCTGTAGTAGAATAGGCCCAGGCTGTACGCGGTGCGGCGGAGCATGTCCGCGACGCTGAACCAGCCACAGCCGGGCGGCGGCCTCGCCTCCAGCTGCGCCGCGAAGCCCCACGGCACAGTGAGCGGCCCCGGCTCACCCTTCTTGAGCTGCGCTGACGGCGACATGCACATTCTCTTGCGGCGTTTTGGTGCCGGCGCACCTTGGCGTGTGCACTAGCAAGGAGTTGGTGGATCGAGAGATTCGCTACTGTGGGTTGCGGGCATTAAGAAAACAGTATGCGGCACGCCGCCGTTTCTAAGCCTTTCCACACCCCTCACCCACCCCACGCCGTGGTTTCTTAACTTCGGCCGGGGCACTCAATCAAGGTAGGTCAAAGGTCAGAGCCGGCCCCGGATAGTCGGAAGAGGTGAGCTGCGGTCCCGGATCCGATGCCGCCAGCCAGTCTGCCACCGACTCAAGACGCACACGCCTCCATCCACACCGCTCACTCAGAACACCGCAGACTTGCAAAATGCCAAGTGCGCGCGCCGCGCAGGCGAAGAGAAATTTTCATTTGACGAGCTGGGAGCTCCCGTTCACACTCGTGTCTGGCCTTTTCTCGGAGCCGCGCCTGCGGCGCGCCGTGGTTTCTTAGATTTTTGCAGAAATCGCTCGGCGTGGTTTCTTAATGCGACGCTTTCTTAATGCCCGCAACCCACTGTAACCCAGGATTCGACAGGATGGATCGCAGTCTGGATCTTGCGGTGCGTGTTGCCGTATTTCTACGTACGTCCTCTCTCCTCTCTCAATGTGTCTCTCTCTCAATGTACGTACTTCTAGCTTACTGGGAGAAATCTCTCTCTCTCTCTCTCTCTCTCAATGTATGTGGCTCTTACGTACATTCCCGGAAGAGGACTGCTGACAGGGTTTGCGATGAGATTCCTTTCTTCTTTTTACTCGAAGAGTCGGGCGGCGTCGAAAAGGAAGGCTGTCTCAGATGCATCGGGACGACCCTCACGGCAGCCGCGGGACGACGGAGCACCACGCGCTCGATTACAAGAAGGAGGTGCAGGCCTTCTCCACCGCCGACATCCTCGCCGCGGCGCAGCAGGGCGGCGCCGTCGCCCGCCGCCCGGCGCGCGCACTTGGCGGTGGCGGCGGCGGCCCACCGGGCGCGACCGCCGCCGCCGCGCCGCCGGCGAACACGCCCGGCAACCACCACGCGCTGGACTACAAGAGCGAGGTCCGCGCCTTCTCCTCGGC